GTTTTTTGAGGCATCTTCATACTGATTTCCACAGTGGCTGCACCAGTCTACCACTTCCACCAACAGTGGAGCAGTGTTCCTTTTCCTCCACAGCCTCGCCAACATTTGTTATCACTTGGTTTCTTGATGGCAGCCATTCTTTCTGGAGTGAGATGAAATATTAGTGCTGTTCTAATTTGCATTTCTCAAATGACCAGTGATGGTGAACATTTCTTCATGTATTTATTTTCCATTTGAATATCTTCATCTGAGAATGTGTGTTCATCTCATATGCCCATTTTTGGAGAGGGTCTTTGAATTTGAGGGACCTGATATTTTTCAATCCTTTGTATGTCTGAACAACTACTTCTAAGATAACAATATATAATTTATCAACTAGTGATTTCTTAGTGTCTTTTAAATTCTGTATTATTTCTACTCTTTTTTCTGTTTTGCTTTTTTTCTCTAAATAAAATAAAGAATTATGTATGAGGTCTTTACACTAAGCTATATTCCTCAACATTAAAAAAAAATTTTGTTAACTTGGAGATAGGGTCTTCCAAAGTCATTAAGTCATCCCAGGTGAGCTCAGAGTCATGATCCTTATGTTTCAGTCTTCCAGAAGACTGGAGTTACAAGGAGCAATGGCAATTACTTAAAAGAAAATATATTTCTAAACAATGAAAAACTTTCTTTTCCGTTCTGGGAATCAAACTCACGGCCTTGCACCTGCCAGGCAGGTGTTATACAGCTGAGCTGTATCCTTGGCGTGACAAACATTTTAAAAGCATGTATTAGTTTTGGGTTTTGTTCTCCCTGTGGGATGATCTTACTTGGACTACAAGCAGAATTTGCGTAATTTGTGCTTGAACTCCTTTTGCTAATTTGTTTTCCTCTTCAGCTTTTTCATCCTTTACCTTTTTACCGTGCAGAACTTTCCCATCAGGTGACTGGTGATTAAGATCTTCGAATGTGAGACAGTAGGTTCGTCTTTGGTGCAGTTTATTCATGTCAAACTTGCCCCTTTATCACTTTCTCACCCCCTTTGTCATTTTGTCGCTTTTATGCCTGAAAGCGTCTAAATTTGATCACTGAGCACTACCCCCAAACAGTAGACACAGCACGGACAATGTACTCATTTAACTTCTGCCGTTAAGAGTGTACAAAAATAGAACAAGCTAAAGGCTTCTTTCTTCTAAAGGCAACATTCTCACGGAGTCAGATAGGTGTTTAAATATTTATCAAGCTCGCTCACAGATTCAACTTCGGGTTCAGCCTCATCACAAGTCATGAAAAGTCATAACTTTCCGGAGTAAGATTCGGTTTCATAGGCACCAAAAATTCTACCACCAGATGCTGAAGAAAAATAGGTCATTGTTTGAGATCGAGGACTAGTTGGAAGACCCAGAAGGAAAATTTGACAGGAATTAATGTTTTTTCCAAGGATCTCATAGCCAGCGGGATGTGGAGCTGACTCATCAGTGGGATCAGAACACAGACATTTCAATATTAAAGGGCTCCTCCCCAGGCCCTATTCAACTAAGGCTTGTTTATGGATGTAGAGTGGGCCAAGGGAGAGCGTTTATTGTTTCATGTCTAGGCTGTAGTCATTTTAGGGATTATCAAATAAAGAGGGAAGCTTTAAAAGTATGCTATCAATTGTGCACTACTTTCTATCTGCTATCATTTCAACTTGACCATTTTCTATGCCCACAGACACTAAGATTCAGTAATATATGGAGGCTTTAAGTTAGACTTTCTAAAAATCTATAAAAAAATTAATTAATTCATTTTGTAAGACAAGTGTGGTTTAATTAGTGTCACCAACATACAAAAATCCAAAATTCCTGAAGCTCTTATTGGCATGTAGAAAGTTTTATCACTCATTATTTTTATATAACAGGGAGGTAATATTTCAGGTTATGTTTCTCACTTCGCCATACTAAGCCAGCATGTGTAAATTCTATCCATCATCAACACATAGTTTACATTACTGCAGATACACCATACCAAAACACAAATACAGACATGTGCTCCCACCCTTGCAATCCTTAAGACTTATGAAATTACATTTGTGCAGTAAGAACTTGAACTAGTTTTCAGAATAGATTAGAAACATGTAAGCCTTCTTTAAAAATACTGAGACTCCATGGAAAATCTATCTTGAACAAATGCAGAAAGAGGTCCTGAAAATCTTCTGCAATATTTATGAAAAGCTTTTCTCAGGAACAACCATGCTTGCAGACCACAGGGGGCACAAATGACAGGGGGTGTAGAATAACAGAGGAAGCCATGCCAACCCAAAGGTGGAAAAAGGAACATGGACCACGCCAGGATAATTATTGCCTGGATTGTTCTAGCTAAGGATCTCATCAATTTCTTTGTGAGAAGTTATTGTGAGTTAAGAAAAGAACTCGACTTGTTATTTTATAAATTATTACATGGGTTGTATAATGGAAGGAGTCAATGAAGTTTATACAGGGAGAGATATACAGCGAACTCCAGCTGATCATTACTGTCAAGATTGTAGTTGTTGAAAAATATCTACAGCTATTTACATGAACAATGCATTAGATTACCTACATATCATTATAAAAAGGATATTACTTACCCACCTTTACACCCACAAAGATAATTGAGTTTAAGTGGGTAATTTAATTTAAATGTCAACAACTTTAAGTGTTATGCTTTATTTCCTGTAGACCACAGGGGGCCAAGTGAGGAAGTGAAATAGAATTTGTATCATCAGTATCTGTTCTACCATCTGTGATTTTTTACAACCTTTCATACCAGAAAGGAACAGAGAAAAGTGCAAACATTCTTTTCATTTGCCAAAATCAACTCCTACAAACCCAGATGAGTTTCCTCACTCCAAGCAGAGCAGACAGGAGGGGGCATTGCAGTTCTATAGAATACACTGTAGGGTTTTTCCTCCTTCATTTAAATGTTACCACCAACTGTAAATTTGAGAGCATCTATGGTTTAACTATAGTCATAAAAAAGTGTGTATATTACAGAATGAATTTAGAGAAAGTGGAGTGATTACAAAACTATAGTGGATACCTTTTCTTAAAGCATTTGACATTACCACCAAGACCTTCAGCGATTTAAATATGATTAGAGTAGACAGACTCCACCTTTCTAGTATTTGGTACCTGAGCATCTCCCCGAGTAGGTAACCTCCTCTGAAATGTAAAAGCCAAGTTTGAAAGCATAATGAATTCATTTCACTCTCCTTGGATATTATTCACAGCAGTGAGAGTCACAGGCGAGGGGAACAAGAATAAAATATCCCGAGAGAGGCAGTTTCAGTGATGTGGTTCCAACAATGAACATGCCGGAGATCTCATGGCAAGTCCTATTACTGTGATTCATACTTCCTGCCCAATAAGAAGTTTGGAAAGTCAATATACACACATAACCTATGTGCTCCAACACTCAGTTGAAGGTTCCCCAATCTCTTTCTGACCTTCAGTTTAGCAGTTCAATCAAATGTATCAGAACAGACAGCTGTGGTTCTCTTTTAATTTTGAAAATAATGAGCCCAAGAGTCTGTGAGCTTCTCCAAAAGACACCTCCTCCATTGACAGACATCCCTTCCAGATGCTTTCAACAATTTGAGATTGATTGGACCCTCAGCCTTTGAGGATTAATAGCCCCTCTTCACATTTTGAGAGGTGCACAACTTAAAATGCCTCGTCGTATTTCATTTCAGTGTTTCACACAGCTCTTCACTTAACCATCCAGGAAATGTAAACAGGACACTGCTTCACACTCCTGAAAGCCTGTAATGTTCATTTGTTTGCATGACACTTGCTGGTAGCATAATTAATTATCTGTGGGTGGCAGATTACATGAAGTCACATTAGTTGGCTAAGTATGCATTTCCTGTAACGATATATACTCTGAAAATATGTTGGATTTTTTTTTTTGAGGTGGAAAGTGGCTGTCTTAATGTTTGAATATTTTAAATTTATATTTGACTACTAAAATTTCAAATTTCCTGTCAGTAAAAGTAAACACAAAATGTGGCACCTGAAGAATAATTTAAAACAAATCATAGTTCTGTTTAATAAATTTCTGAAAGGCAAATAGTAGTGGCTTAGTGCTTGGTTTGGTTTGGTTTGGTTGGTTGGGTTTTTTTTTTCCCTAAGACAATACCAGAATCCAGGTTTACCGTTCAGATTTCCATAATCAGTGGTACTTACTTTGGCACCGTGCCAAGAATTATTCATTGTGAATCATAAATTCTTCCTGCAAGGTTTCCTAAGGGCAGCCTATGGTCTAGAAATATTTAATTGGAGGTTTCAGTTCATGGAATATCATTAAAGTGCCCAATCAGCTATCTCTCTTATTATTTTGTATTTATTTCTAATTATATCTCAAAGATAATTTGGGCCAGGAATATAACTCATCTTCATGGCACCTGCCTAAGTTAGATTATTGGTATATATACAATTCTACATATACATATATATGTATATGTAGAAACAATTACTACATATATGATAATTGTTTCAACATTATCTTCAATAGGATTTTTAGTATTCGATTCCATAAAAAAGGAAACCTTTTACATCTTTCACGTACAAAAAAAGCACACAAAAAGCCAAATGACTATCGGCCCTCCCCACACCCCTTAACAATTTCATAATATATATTTCCATATGTGCTTTAGACCACAGGGCTTGGAAGCAAAGTAAAAGTACCACTGTTACTCCGATCATTAGACAGAAAGAGACAGTGGCTACATTAGTATATAACAGTCTGATGAGAAATACAGAATTTTAAAAAAAGTTAATTGTACATGTATTTCTGACTTTTTAGAAAGGTTATAGCTATATGAGATCTAGAATCAAAACCTGATGTGACCTACATAAAGAAACGCTCTGATTCCCTAATTAATCCAAGCTGTGGCTGCAGGCTCAGCAAATAGATGCCAGAAAAAAATCATCTAATCAATCTTCCCAGTATCCTCCAGGAATGTGGTAAGGAGAGCACGGAGCAGAGTATGGTGGTGGTGGGGATGTGAGCCTGGAAAGCGCCTGCCCCCGGGTTTGGTCCACCAGGAGGGTCCCGATCACGTGGAAAAGGGGGCTGGGAAGCAAGGGACCGGCGGGGGTGGAGAAGGAAAACAGACTAAATGTTTTAACAGCTGCTCTTTTTTCTTTCCCTATTTGGCCCAAGGTTCTGATTTCCCTCTGAAGGGGATGGGCCTCCTACAGGCAGGAGGCTGAGTCCAGCAGGGCCTGTTTGCTCTGGGAAACTGAATTCTCTTTCTCTTTTTGTCCAAGGGTTTGCTTTTGAGGAGAGAGAAGGAATGGTAAGAAGAAAATGGAATATTTTAGAGTTCATATTAAAGCAAAACCAGTCCCAGAAAAAGCAATTCCTTTGAATTTTAAAGAGACTGGCAACAAATGAAGGGGGGCCCGGGGGGGGGGGCAACCTCACATTCTTCCTCTTGAATTTTTGACAGGAAAATTGTTCTTCAGGAAAGATGGAATGTCATTCCATGTAACTTACTCCTCCATTTCAGTGCCTCGATGATGATACAGAAGGTATGTTAATTGAGAAGGATTTAAAAATAATGCGGCTGCTTAAAATAAGAGGCAAATAACTTGCAGAGAAGCCATAAAACAAATGGCAAGAATGCTTTCTGTAAGCCACACATTTGGTGCTGCCAATATCAAATAAAGGGCAAACTCTCTTTTCCAAGAGCAACTATTTGTTTTCTGTGCTGAAACTTCTTTACTCCATCACTTTGGGTTTGCTGTGCTGCATTTTAGCTCAAAAAACATTTCAGGGTAGATGCTGTCTCTCAGACTCGCTCCCGAACAGCCGCACCGTTCAAACATGCATGAACATTAGTAACACATGTTGGTTTATTCCATGAGCAGGATAATTTCTCCTTCTGAGGAATCTGAACAATCAACTGTAGATCTTAATTGTAGCCACTGCTCAATTATTCAAACAAATGTTAGGAAGACCAAAGTTACGCCCAACTGCATGCTTGTCAGACTTTATTGCATTTTGTATCTGCAGCATACATTTCAACAGCTCCCCGGCCTGCTCCCGGCAGCCGCATAACAAACTGCTGATTTCTCATTGCTTTGTTCTCAGCTATTGCTCTTGGGCTTCCCCCCTCTCTGTCCTGAGTTTCTAACCTTTCTTCCTGTCTGAGCATTCCTACCAGAGGCTCATTTTTGCAAGGAAGTTTTTTCCTCATTCTCTTCCTCTGCTTCTAGTTTTGGCAGTTATAAGACATTGCATCCCATATGTTCTGCAGCACACACATTTAAGTTATATTTCTTTCTTTTTCTCTTAAACTGTTTGAATTTGGTCTCCTATGTCCAGCTTCCTAAAGCAGATTGCTAGCACCTTGTGGAAAAGAATAGTGTCCTCTCCACTCCTCCTTGAAGGGTTGGAAAATCATTTCGCTTGGTACTAACTTTTCTGGTTTTCCAGCTACTGTCCCCATTTTCACACTAAAAATCCCATATCCTAGGAAAACCTTCACTTCTTGGTAAACAGGCAAGCTGGTCACTTTATCAGCTAGGTATAAAGGAAAACAGGAATAAATCAAAAACCCTTGTGATTACATAAACAACACACACTTATGTTTTCAGTATTTTTACTTTTAAATGAAGAAACCAAAAGTCATTATTAAAGAATTAAAATATGGCAGAGAAACATGATATATAGTAAGCATACAACGTTTGCATAGATCTATTTATTGCACATGAAAAATATATTAAAAAGTATGAAAAAGGCATGCATAATGCAAGCTACAGAGGCAGGTAGAGAATTGGTTTGTGTTAAGCTCAAAATTCAGGACTCTGTTTAATCTGTTCCTTTGCTGGCCAATTTGAAAATTGAGAATGAAAACAAGATTGTCCTCCAGGCCCCTGCAGGCTAGAATAAGTGTGATTGAATTTACCATATTCTGAGCTGTGGACTCTTTACCCTGCGTTTCAGTGATTGCCTATTGTTTTCATCCTATTGCCTTAGTCTTAGCATACATCAGTGATTACAAAAAGTTATGAGCTTTTGACGGGTACTCTGAGTCCTCAGGACTTGCTAAGGGTTTATAAATAACTTCCAAGACATGATAATTTTTGTGTGTACCTGTGCAATACTAGGGATCACAGGTGTGCACCTCCATGCCTGGCTAATAATTTTTATTATTACTCTGAAAATTTAGTTAAGCTTAATAAAGTTAATTAATTTTTCTGGTAATGTATTCAATAATAATATATCATCTTACATATGTCTGTTTTATGTATTAACAATGTAATGACTTTGTAAAATAACATGCAATATTTGCTTTTTAATTATTTTACATTAAAAAATCCAGCTGTGCACTCAGGAAGGTGTGATGGGGAAGCAGACCCATAGCAAGATAAGGCTAAGTCCCTGCCCATCACTGGCTCGTAATAAGGTAAACGAGTTAGATACACTTACATGGGATGGAGTTACAGGCAGGATCAAAGATCATGGAGAAGGTATGACAAAAAGGAGTAAGAAATTAATTTCATGTGGGCCCCTCTGGAAAATGTAAGAGAAGAGCTAGTTAGAAATTAATACAAAAAATATTTATAGCAAAGAGAACCACATGAATGTATGGATGAATAAAACCACAGAAGCAAGAGAAGAAAAGACAGACATACAGTGATGGCAGACACAGAAGGGAGATAAAATGTGCCTGGGACAAGTGGGCATCACAGGGACATAGAAAGAGATGAAAGAGGAAAGGTAGGTCAGGTCTAGAGTGAGAAGTTTGGAGAAGGTGACCAACGTTAATTGAGCTTTCACTTGAAGCCAGTTGCTCTGTGAGGTGAATTGCACAAGTTATGGCATTTAATGCTTATTTGAACTCTAAGAGACTTATTTGTGTCCTTATTTTACTGATGGCAAAACAGGTTTGGAGAAGAAAAATACTAGTACTCACACACACACACACACACACACACACACACACACACACACACAGTTAAAAACCACAGAGCCAAGATCCAAACTTAGATCTGTGTGCCTTCAAATTCAAGTAAATTAAATCTTTTCTATTTGTCCCACATGATTTGTACTTTATTAGAATTGCAAAGAGTTGTTAAAGGTTTGTGAATGGGAATGAGAAGGCCAAGAGAGTTCCTTGATTCATTATGTGAGATATATTGGCAGCTACAGATAAAAGATGAGGCGACAAAGAGTAATGTAGGTTGGAACCAAGCTGATAATTTAGGAAACTAAAAAGGGATTTCAGGGGTGGCCCCCAAGGTTGACATTACAATGTCACTGGGTTTATTGGACACAAGTTACAAATGATTCCAAGATATACAGCTTGTATAGAGCTATTAAAGTCACCTATTAGAGTCATAGTATATCTGCCTTTTAAGAATGTGAACAATGAGTATCAGCACTTTTTACTAACATTTCTTTAGAATTTGTATGTAAACAAATCAGTGTTGGAAAATTACCTTCCTTCTCTTTGCCAACAGTTCATTATCTCTAAATTCAACAGCTATACGGGCATTTATGCCATGCAAAATGTATTGCCAGTGAGTAGTTTGAGTTATTACCAGCTTTACAAATAACTTTTAGTTCAGTCTTCAACTCTAACAAATGAAATGACTGGTTTACATAAAAGGGGATAGAAACTATGTCAGTGCATTTGAGAGTCAATTCTGATTTGAAGACAAGAACACAGAAAAGTTTCTTATTTATCTTGAAAGCCACACTGAAAAAAATTAATTTTTGATCTTGCCAAAGGGAGGTGAAGAGAAAGGCACAGTAGAATAATAAAGATTCTTAAAAGTTTTCAACATATTGGAAAGATGAAATAGAGTAGTAGGCTCAAAATTAAAATGAATAAATCTAAAAAATGGAAGAAGAGTCTTAACATTGTGATTTCATTAGCCATTATTAGAAACCTATTGGAATAGCTTCAGTCACTGCAAAACTGCGGTTCAAGTAGAGATATTCGTAGTACAACCTTCCATCTGACAGAGAGCAGATGGGCAGATGGTTCAGTGGTCTCTAGTGAGTGTCTGCTCCTCTCTATTACTACGCAGTGTTTACATAAAGAAGTGCTGATGTTTTCCAAGCCTAATAATGATGATGATAGTGATAATAACTCTAATTTATTAAACACCAATTATATGCTAGATATCATGCTAGCTGTGTCACATACACTCTCATTTTATGTTTAAAATAATCCTCTGATGAAAGCACACTGCCTCCATTTTACAAAAACGTAAGTTTAGAAAGCTGCAGAGAGCTCTCCAGGTGTCACCTAACACAAACACATCCAGGAAGAAAACACAAGGCTGTCAGACTCCGCAGTTTTCTGTCCTTATCTTACTCTAGCTCTCAGCTCTAGTTGCATGTTACAGTTGCCTGGGAGACTTTCACAAGGTTCCTGCTAGAGATTCTGATTCGATTTGTTTGAAAGAAGCCCAAAAGTAAGTAAGTTTTAAAAGCTTCCCACCTAATGGGTAGCACTGTTGACAGTCACAATACTGTACCACACAACCTGCAAAACATGCAAGTCTCTGAAGGTAAGCAAAGAAAGCCCCTATCAAAGAAAGCCCACTCACACATTTATACACCCCAGTTTAAGATCATTGTTCTCAATTTTTTTTCAATATTTAGTTTAGGTTGAATAAAGGTCACAGATAATAGTGAAGCTAAAGTCTTGGCCTCCAAAGAGAGGATCAAGGTGCTAGGCATCAATTTTTAATTGGAGAATCATGTTTAATGTTTTCCAACAAAAATCTTAGGCCAACAGCAAACTTATTTCTGATCAGCAAAAGCATGGACGTTAGTGGTTATATACATCATTATTTAATCATAACTCATAAAATGTGTCTTGATATAGCTGTATCATCTCAGAAATACCCCTGTAGCAGCAGTTCACAAACTTTTTGGTACCAGGAACAAAGTTGGTGGAAGACAATTTTTCCATGGAATGGGGTGGGGTGGAGGGTTTGGAATGGTGTGTTTTCAGCATTAGATTCTTATAAACAGTGCTCCAACTAGATTCTTTGCCTGGCCAGTTCGCAGTAGCATTCCCACTCCCATGAGAATCTTTCCCTGCTGATCTGAGGAAAGGCCAAGGACAGAGGGTAATTTGAGCGATGTGGAATGGCTATAAATCTAGATGGAGCTTTGCTGTCTTCCGGCTGCTCATCTCCTGCTGTGCCACCGCACTTTGTGACAAGCTATGAACCAGACCAGTATCACACTGTCAGTCTTTGGACTCAGGGATCTAGCACTCCCGTCCTACAAGAGATTCAAAACCACAAGCAAAAGATCAAAGAATAGATTAGAAGGACCAGCAGTGTCATGGGCAAATCTCCATCGCACAAATGTCTGGCAGAAAGCCCAGAACCCCTGAGTTCTAGAAAGACCTGAATGTCCCTTATGATGGATGAGCTTTTCTCCTCTTTAAGGAGAATAACTTTTTTGCAGGTACGTCAGTTTTAGTACAGGTGGAACATCCCTCATCCAAAAACCTCAAAATCCAAAATGCTCCAAAATCTGAAACATCGTGAGTGTTCACATGATACTGCAAGCGGAAAATTATGCAACTGATCCCATGTGACAGATCACAGTCAAAATGCAGGTGTGCTAAAAATATTGGATAAGATTACCTTTAGGCTATGTGTTTAAAGTGTTTATGAAACATAAATGGATTTCATGTTTAGACTCGGGTCCTATCCCTAAAATATTTCATTATATACATACAAATATTTTTAAACTTTAAAAAATATAAAATACATCTGGTCCCAAGCATTTCAAAAAAGGGATAGTGACCTTGTATTTATTTTTAGGATTTTATTTTTTTAATTTCTTCTCACTGTTGTAGACACTCAGAAGCTTTATTTACCTTGTTTCTTCTTCAGCCTTTCAACCTTTCTTTTTTCTCCTTCCCCTTTAAATCCAAACCACAAACACACCCTGTTCGAACCTGTACATTTTCAAGAACGTAAGACACACCCAGGCAGAGGAAGAAATTGAGAGATAAAGCTGTGACTGATTGCTTAAAGGTTCACAAAAGGCCTGGTTGTTTCTTCTACACAGGTGCTTTACTATCTGTCAGATGAACAAAGGAGAAACTCCCCAAGACGACCTCTGTCCCAGCTTCTGACTGTCAGACCAAATGGCATAGAAAGTAATGCATCCCAGCGACTCTATCAAAGTATGAGTTGATCTAATAACAGGTACACCTGAATTCTAGGGACCATACCTGCTGTCTTCTCCTTGAAAATTCCTGTATCCAGAGGAGGGTAAAATGTTTTAATCATGTATAATTGTTCAGGTGAAAAACACAAACAAGAGTTTAAGAACACAGTGTTTGGAGACAGGACCCTATGATTGAACCCATGTTTGGTAATTTATCTGCCATATGGCCTTGAGAAATTTATTTAAATTTTCAAAGCCTTATTTTCCTTATCATGGAAATGTAAATAGCATCATAATGTGCTTTACGGGAGGATAAAATGATTCAAAAAGATATATCTATAAACCCCTTAGAATAATCCCTATTTGTTCATGTGAAATCTGTTTACTGAAAACCTAAGTGAGCCAGGCATGATTGTAGGTGCTTAGGATTTAGCAGTGAATTAAACAGGCAAAATTGCCCCTTGTGATGCATGCAGGGCCAGTAATGGAGACAGCAAGGAACAGAGCAAACAGAGAAAATATGCTGGTGTTAAATAACATAATATTCATTGACTATACGGAAAGCCGTCAGGCAAAGTTACTGATAAAAGATGAAACGTAACATCTGAGTGTATTAACACACTAGGTAAGAAGATCAAATTTTTAAAAGTATAAACTCATTTGTTATAGAAGCTTAAGTAACAAATACATGAAGCTAAGCTTGAGAAAGTGTTGTATCGTATGAATTTTTAAGAAATTATTGAGCCAAAAATTCAAGGTTCAGTAATGTTGAATCAACTCTCCAATTGACGTCATAAAAAGGAACCACACGTGTAGTCACTCTGAAGCCATTTCCCCAAGTTTATATAACACATCGGTATGAGGCCCTCAGGAACCAATTCCTAGCTCAAAGACACTCCATCACTATTTCTGCTTGACACAGGCAAGATGGGAACAGCTAATATTGTGCGTGGACAGTGCACATGGAATTCCTGGCTCGTTCTTACAAAAACCTCTCATGTTTCCTGAGACTTCGAAAGCCTCATCTCATCACCTTGTGTCCTTGTGTTCATCTCCTCAATAAATGGATGAACACTGCATCAAACACTGCTTAGAAAAGTCTTTTCTGTAAGCTAAAACTAAACAATATATTTTCCACTTAAAAATCAAATGTCACTATTTCCATAAGCATGGCTGTGGGTATAGAGGATTCCCTATAGAGTTAGAACAATGTTTACACAATGAAATGACCCCTTAAAAGCCATGGTTCAAGGCATCATGGAAACATAAGCTGGTCATATACAAACAAGCTGGGAACTTTTCAGAAAGCCTCTACAGGAAATGCTAAATCTGCTGCTAGATTACAGCAGCTGCACCTGGCAGGCTGCAGCATGTACTGCCTTGCTCCTCCTGGCAGGATGATTTCTGGCTGGCAGAGTCCTAAGCAGGGTTCTTGCAGCCAAGCTGGTTTGAGCTACGCAACTGAGTTCATGTTATCCGTAGAATTTACATGAAATGAACTGAGCAGCAGATAATGGAAAGAATGTGTCACTTTGAGAAAGGAAATATTTATCTTAGTCTTATTTTTCACTCAGTATTGTTCCTTAAGTGTTTATCACTCACTTCTTTTCCCACTTAGTATATACCTACACCTTCTGTGTCATTCTCACATTACATTGTCTCACACTCAACTCTTTACTGCCTCTTTTGTTGGGTAAGCAGTATCTCTGTGTTTTTATCATTAAAACCAATTAGATATGGGAGGAGCAGTGTACCATGGTGATTAAAGGTGAGCATTTAAATCCAGAAAGACTTGCACTACTTACTAGGTGTGAGACTTTAAGCAAGTCATTTAAACTTAGTCTCAATTTCTCCATTTATGAAATGGGTGTGATCATTTATTTGTCTCATATCTCTGTTGGGAGGCTAATAAGATAATGCATAAGGCATTTAGCATGCTTTCTGGAGGGTAGAAGGGATGTAAGGGTGCTTGCTTTCCTTATGGAAGATGCAGTGTGTGGATGGGTGCAGAGGGGCTATTCCATGTGGTTACAAGTATATAAATACATTTGAATATGAGAAGCAGGAGACATATGTGTATGTGTTTATCAAATTTTAGTATCTTTGTGTTAGTCACATATTGATTCTATTTTGTAACTATGAAATTGTGGCTTGGGTGGATATAATCTATAACAGACATAATCCTGAATTACAGACCCATTCAGCCCTTTCTGTATATTATGAACATAAGTCATTGTGTAAAGTTTGAAAATATCTTTATATTCTTGTGATTCTTGAATAATTCCACCTTTTGTTTTTTTAATTTCAGGAGGAGATTTTCATTCTTGTGGTCAGTAAAACACCATTTAATTTGTATCAGTCTCCTAGTTAAGGTTGGCTTTTCAAATAAGTAATAGAAATCAGATTAATTCTGGCTCAGTCTATGGCCGTACCACTCTGAACATGCCCGATCTCATCAGATTATTTCTGATTTAGAAATAATCTGTAAACCAACAGACACTGAGATAAATACCTTTTAGATCATTAGCAAAGTAGTCAGTTGGCAGTAACTTACAAAGTTATTATATGAAACAGATACTTTGATCCTAAGTGTATCTATTTTTATTCTGGGTTACTAGTTAAATACTTTGTTAAAAATGTTTATTAAATATCTTTGTCAGAGAACATATTCACTTAGGACTGTGAGGTTATAATGAATGAAACATGGCTACACAATATTATACCAAAAGGGTCCAAGGAAGATCATCTTTTAAAGTCTGTACAAATAAGAACTCCTCCAGTTAGTTTAAAAAAAAAAAAAAAGGCTAAATCAGGGAGATAACAAGAGATTTGGGGAGAATGAACCACAAACCCTAAGCTTTGGGTGTCCTTTTCCTAATCTAGCAAAAATCTCCCAAAGGTAATGTTTAAGGAAGAGCGGCGCCCTGTGGGAAGGTAAGATTTTGCAGAGTACCACTGGCCCGTGAGGGGAGCGAGTGTGGGAAGAGCTGTGGCAAAGGGAGTCCACAGTTTGGGCAGGCAGCCAAAGAAGGAGTCAGAAGAATTCACAGAAAGATGCGTTGATAACCAAGGCTGGGACACCTGATGGCTGAGTAAACAAAGGCCTCATTAGATTGGAGGATTTCCCCACCCAGGAATGAGATATTCATACCCTTCTAAAGAATGTATTTGTTCTGTTTAAAGTTACAGTTAAGGGTGCTTACCTCCTACCTACCCTAAACTCCTGTAGGCCTAATTCTGAGTCAGACTTTCCTGATGGGAACCTATAAATTGATCTCCCCTTGGCTGAGATGTAGTCATTTTTGTATATAAAAGCTTCTAAACAAAAGTCTCTTTGGCAGCCCTTTTTGGGTCTCCTTCCAGATTCATTGCCTGGGAGCTTTCTGCTTTTGCTTTACAGTAAACTTTGTTTGTTCTTGCTCTACCATAAATACTTCTGCTTATTCTTCTGATTTTCAACCTTGCAATTCTTTCTCCGTTGTAAGAAGAACCCTCACACCACCACCTACCCCAGCTGGATGGTAACAGTACCAATTCAAGCCATTTGGATGGGGTATATTCTTGAATCACAAAGCTAATAATTATAGGGACAAAATAACTCTCTGATGTAACTGAATCTAGATACCAAATAATTGTCATAAAAGTCATTCTTTATATACCCCCTGCAAAAAACAAAACAAAACTCTAGTTTGTCCTCTCTGCTTGATTTGTGTTGGATTTAGACCAGGAATTCTGAAAGCCTCACAGCAGAAGCTTGTAGCCATACGGCCAGCAGTCCCTAAATAGAGAGAAGGTCAATTCCTCCCCAGGAAAGGTGTTGAGAAGACAAGAAATCATTTACTACCCAGTTTCTTTAAACTAAGGCCTAACGAGACTGAAAACCTCACCCAAGATGGTCAGTTGCTGGGTACAGAAGTGTGCGATTCAGGTTCTGAGACTTTTCCACCATACTGCACTCTTCCTGGCAGTAGGGAAGCGAGACCTGTGTGTAAACACTGACAGTGGCCTAGCAAAGGAATTAAAGCCAGACACCCTTGTTTAATCCTCACCTCCACATCTTTCTAGGCAGATGTCTTTGGAAAGTAATTAGATCTCTGTGCCTTAGTTTCCTCCTGTGTGCAGTGGGAAAGTACAGTACCTGTTTTGCTGCACTGTTCTGAGAAACCAATGAATGAATACATATAAAGATTTGTAGTTGGGCGTGGTACACATACCCGTAACCCCAGCACATGGGAGGCTGAGACAGGAGGGTCACCTGAGTCCCGGGCCAACCTGGTCTACATAATGAGTTCAAAAACAACCTGAAGTATATGGCAATACTCTGTCTTTTAAAAATAAAAGAGAGAGAGAAAGAAGAAAGAAAGAAAAAAAGGAAAGAATTTCTTCTTTCTTTTGAAAGAATTTTAAAAGATTCATGGCATGTAAGTTTTATTCAAGACTTTGTTATTATTACTAAGTTTCTGCTGAAAGGGAAACACCGCACATATTTTATGCCTTGTTATCTTCAAAACAACAAAGTATACAAGACCTTTCTCGCTGGAGAGAAAACACTGAATCCATAGACGGTAAACAACTTGATCAAGATTTTGCACCGGCAGAAGCCAGGGTTTGAACTTCTATCTGTCTGACAACAAAGCTTGTGTTTTTAACACAATACTAAGTGATAAATGTCACAGAACAGGTTCATAGAAAATACCACGTGAGCCGAGGGGAGGCAGCAATCACATTCAGCAGAGGCGGTAAGGTTTGAGGTACAAGGAGAGGAGCACTGCCTGGCAGATCCTGTTTCACTAATTCAGCTCAGTATTCATTTGAGCAGCAGTGAGAAACAAAGCTCATCACAGCTTGTTCACGTCGGATTTCAGTTGTAAATGGGCAATGGAGGCAAAGGGTTCTAGATGGAAAATTAAGGACAGAGAACGGGGGTGTGGTACAAAAGATGAGGTCTGGGATTCTGGTCAGCTTTGGCTTCTAGAAGGTTACATGCAGAGAATTAGCAGGAAAGGAAGTTGAAAATGTAATAGCTAGTACTG